TGGTGGCTCACGCTTGTAATCCCAGCACTTTGGGAGGCTGAGGCAGGTGGATCATGAGGTCAAGAGATTGAGACCATCCTGGCCAACATGGTGAAATCCCGTCTCTACTAAAAATACAAAAATTAGTTGGGTATGGTGGCGCACGCCTGTAATCTCAGATACTGGGTAAACTGAGGCAGTAGAATTGCTTGAACCAGGGAATTGGAGGTTGCAGTGAGCCGAGATCGCACCATTGCACTCCAGCCTGGCAACAGAGGGGACGCCATCTCAAAAAAAAAAAAAAAAAAAAGAGGAGAGACAAAGATTCCAGGATATGGTCTTCTCACTTCTGGATTCTGAATGCAAAATAATGCTCCAGCAAAACTCAAATAATGGGAAGAAGTATGGGCAATGAGTTAAGAAGTTTTGATTGCAAACAGCAGAAACTAACACTGGCAGGATGTGAGGTGCCTCAGGAAATTAGCGCAAAGTGTGTAAGCTCCCCAGAGAGAATGGAGACCGGAAAAACTTGGGAGAGGCAAAAGACGCTATTCCGGAACTTGGCTTCTGTCCTGGTGGTACTGTGTTCAAGATTCAGTATCTGGCTGGGTGCCATGGCTCATGACTGTAATCTCAGCACTTCAGGAAGCCGAGGCAGGCAGATCCCTTGAGGTCAGGAGTTTGAGACCAGCCTGGGCAACATGGTGAAACCCCATCTCTCCTAAAAATAGAAATATTAGCTGGGCGTGGTGGCACACACCTGTAGTCCCAGCTACTCAGGAGGCTGAGGCAGGAGAATTGCTTGAACCCAGGAGACAGAAGCTACAGTGAGCCGAGATGATGCCACTGCACTTGAGCCTGGGAGACAGAGTGAGACTCCATCTCAAAATCATAATAATAATACATATTTTTTGTCTCCCAGGCTAGAGCACAATGGCATAATCATGACTCTCTGCAGCCTCAGTTTCTCAGGCTTAAGCTATCTTTCCACCTCAGCCTCCTGAATAGATGGGACCACAGGAATACACCACCACGCGTGGCAAATGTATTTTTATTTTTAGTAGAAACAGGGTCTTGCCATGTTGCCCAGGCTAGTCTTGAACTCCTGAGCTCCAGCAGATCCTCCTGCCTCAGCATCCCAAAGGGCTGGGATTATAGGCGTGATCCATCATGCCAGGTGGCTTCCCAATGTTCTCTATGCTCCTTTCTGCATCTCCATCCCGCGCCCTCAGGACCTCACACCTATCTAATAACCAACCGGCTGGGCTTAGCGACCTGCTTTCTATGCGCCTCCTGCCTTCCTTGTTGGATGTTGATTCCATACACACTACGTAATTTCCCTCTGACCTGTGGAAATTTATTTTCCACGACACTTCAAACATCCTCAGCTCCCAGAAAGTCCTCCTTCTCCGTGTTCTTTCAATATCCCGCGGCTTTCCTGCTGGCTGCCTCCCCTCGCAGCCTCCTGCTCACCTGGAATATGAACGCCCTCCTTAAGCTCATCCGTCCATTTAGGCCAGCAATTCTCAGTCCTGGTCATATATCCTCCCTCTTTTTTTTTAACATAGAGACAGGTGTGTGTGTGTGTGTGTGTGTGTGTGTGGTAGGCGAAGGGGGGCTTGCTATCTTGCCCAGTCTGATCTAGAACCCCTGGCCTAAGGGCTCCTCCTACCCCGGCCTCTCAAAGTGCTCAGATGACAGGCATGAGCCACTGTGCCTGGCCCCTAGCTGTGTATTCTAATTACCTGGAGAGTTGTTTTTTTCTTAATCAATGGGAAATACTCATTCAGACCATTTAAACTGAAATCTCTGGGGCCCAGTCGTTTTTTGGTTGGTTTGTTTTGTTTTGAGATGGAGTCTGGCTCTGTCTCCCAGGCTGGAGTGCAATGGCGTGATCTTTGGCTCACTGCAACCTCTGCCTCCCAGGTTCAAGCAATTCTCCTGCCTCAGCCTCCTGAGTAGCTGAGATTACAGGCACCTGCCGCCACGCCGCGCTAATTTTTGTATTTTTAGTAGAGACAGGGTTTCACCATATTGGCCAAGCTGGTTTCTTGGCCAGGCTGGTCTTTAATTCCTGACCTCATGATCTGCCCACCTCAGCTTCCCAAAGTGCTGGGATTACAGGCACGAGCCACTGCGCCAGGCCAGGTGTTCTTATAAGAAGAGGAAATTTGGACACAAAGACACCAGAGATGCCCACACGCAGAGGAAAGGGCGCATGAGGACACAGCAGGAGGGTGGCCATCTGCTTACTGAGGAAAGAGACCTCAGAAACGCACCCAGTGGACGGACACCCTGATCTTGGACTTGCAGCCCCCAGAACTGTGAGACAGTAAATGATGTTTAAACCACCCTTAAAACCCTGTCTGCTGTATTTGGTTATGTCACCCCCGCAAACTACACATGAAGTAAAGGTGTGGGAAAATTAAAATAAGTTTAGGAAAAGTAATCTAAATCACACTTACAAGCACTGAGCCAGCAGATGCCAGTTGTTAACAGAATCAGAAACTACTGTAAATTGTCCTCCCAGGCAATAGCAGCCTGATCACTGCTAAATGCTAAATGCCTCCAGGGTTCAAGTGACTCTTGTTCCTCAGCCTCCCAAGTAGCTGGGACTATAGGCGCGCACCACCTCGCCCAGCTAATTTTTGTATTTTTAGCAGAGATGGGGTTTCATCATGTTGGCCAGGCTGATCTCAAACTCCTGACCTCAGGTGATCCCTACCCCCTCGGCTTCCGAAAGTGCTAGGATTATAGGTGTGAGCCACCGCACCTGGCCAGAATATGGTTTTAAGAGGGCGTTTCACTTAGTGAGAGCTTTAGGTACTGCAAAACCTGAATCTGCCCTGGAAGATAAAGGCACAGGATGATCAGGTGGATGGAACTCTTGCTCTTATACACAGATTTTAAAAATTATTTCAGTCTGAATTGGGATATAGAAGGTTTTCTAGAATGTATAGTATGGTAATAAGCTTGTAGCAGACACCTTCAAGGTGACTACAAATGAGTCCTTGTATAACCTCTTCCCTGGAGTGCAGGTGAAAACTATGACTGGATTCTAACCAATTGATTATGGTTAGAGTTCTTGAAGCCTTGACCTCCTGGGTTTAAGCGATCCCCCTGCCTTAGTCTCCCAAAGTGCTGGGATTACAGGTGTGAGCCACCACACCCAGCCGCTGCATTGCTTTTGATCTCACTTTTCTCCAGCCCTCCAGCCACATCCTGTCTGTCAGTCTCTTGCCGGATTCACGCTACTGTCTGAGGCTTTCTCTGTTCCATGTTTTGTGTGTGTGTGTGTGTGTGACAGAGTCTTGCTCTGTTACCCAGGCTGCTGGAGTGCAGTGGCACAATCTTGGCTCACTGCAGCCTCTGCCTCCTGGGTTCAAGTGATTCTCCCACCTCAGCCTCCTGAGTAGCTGGGACTACATGTGCATGCCACCATTCTCGTCTAATTATTGTATTTTTAGGAGAGATGGAGGTTTCACTATTTTGGCCACACTGGTCTCGAACTCCTGACCTCAAGTAATCCACCCGCCTTGGCCTCCTGAAGTGCTAGGATTACAGGCATGAATCACCACTCCCAGCCTGTCCCATCTTTTGAGCTATGCCCACACCTGGCTTCCAGAGAGTTGAGGTCAGATACCTTCCTGACTCTCAGAGTCACTTTCAACCTCCCCCATTAGTTCCCTGAGAGTTTATTGTGACACCTCATGGTCATCTAATATAATTTGGATGTTTGTCCCTTCCCAATCTCATATTAAAATGTGACCTCCAGTGTTGGAGGTAGGGCCTGGTGGGAGGTGTTTGGATCACGGGGACAGAGCCCTCATGAATGGCTTGGTGCCAGCATCCCCTTGGTGATGAGTGAATTCTTGTTCTATGAGTTCACATGAAATCTGGTTTAAAAGAGCCTGGCACCTCCTCACTTGTAAGCTTCCTGGGGCAAAAGCAAAGCAGATACTGATGCCATGTCTGTAGAGCGTGTAGCACCTGACTCAAACCTCTTTTCTTTATAAATTACGCAGGCTCACATATTCGTTAGCAGCAAACAAAACGGACCAACACAGCGTCCCTGCTAATTTCATGCAGGAAGCTAACTTCCAGCACAATCACCTGGGTCCACAAAGGATGCACTCAGTCCGATTGGCTTTACAAATTTAGCCTCAGATGGGAATCTGTGTAACTGTGTTTGGCACACGCCAATAGGTATTCCATACATGTTTGTTGAGTCATTTGTATTTTTTTTTTTTTTTTTTTTTTTTTTTTTTTTTTTGAGATGGAGTTTTGCTCTTGTTGCCCAGGCTGGAGTGCAGTGGCGCCATCTTGGCTCACCGCAACCTCCACCCCGTGGGTTCAAGCGATTCTCCTGCCTCAGCCTCCCAGGTAGCTGGGATTACAGGGATGTGCCACCATGACCAGCTAATTTTGTATTTTTATAATAGAGATGGGGTTTCACCATGTTGGTCAGGCTGGCCTTGAACTCCTGATCTCCAGTGATCTACCCGCCTCGGCCTCCCAAAGTGCTGGGATTACAGGCGTGAGTCACCATGCCTGGCCATGCTGTTTTCTTAAATGAGTCAAAAATAGTCTAAATACTGTACTTCACAAAATTTGTAAAGTGGGAAGAATGGGGCTGTGGCTGCTTCCAGCCTGGGAATGGGATGCGCCACAAGATGGCGCCACCCTTGCGTCAGTGAAGGCCGAGGCCCCTGGTGCGGGGAAGGCCCGCCTTCCCCCCAGACCCTGGGCCACCAGCAGGGGCCAGAGCACGGCTCACCAAACCATTGACACGGAGACAAAAGCCTGAATCCCCTGTGCTGTCAGTGACCTGGGCCTTCCTCTCTATTCTCTGTAATCAAGTCTTTCTGGAGATGTGCGGTGGAGACATCCCCAGCCAGGAGCTCCTTCCTCATTCAGAGAAGGCGGCTCAGGGCAGCTGGTGGCTTCCCCTCCGCTCCTGAGGGACGGCGTGGGACGCCGCTGCTCTGGACCTTCTCTCCACTGTGCTTTGTTGCTGACTTGTTTAAGCGCCAACTGGGTCTCCTTAAGGCACCCGTGGGAAGATCAGCGGCAGAACTCGCAAAGGCTGCGGTGCTTGTGATACTCCTGACAAGGGACGGATGGACCTGACCTCCGACCTCCAGGTGTAAGTGGATAGGGGTCAGAATCCAGACCCCAAGAGAGGGTTCTTGGATCTCGCACAAGAGGGAATTCAGGGCGAGTCCACAGAGAAAAGTGAAAGCAAGTTTATTAGGCAAGTAAAAGAATGAAGAATGGCTACTGGTAGCCAGAGCAGCCCCGTGGCTGCTGGTTGCCCATTTTTGTGGTGCTTTCTGGATTATGAGCTAAACAATGGGTGGATTATTCATGCCTCCCCTTTTAAGATCATATAGGGTAATTCCTGACGCTGCCATGGCATCTATAAACTGTCATGGCACTGGTGGGAGTGCCACAGTGAGGACGACCAGAGGACATGCTTGCTGCCATGTTGGTTTTGGTGGGTTTTGACTGTCTTCTTTTTTCTTTTCTTGAGACAGAGTCTCGCTGTGTCACCCAGGCTGGAGTGCAATGGCGTGATCTCGGCTCACTGCAACCTCTGCCTCCTGAGTTCAAGCGATTCTCGTGCTTCAACCTCCTGAGTAGCTGGGATTACAGGTGTGCACCACTATGCCCAGCTAATTTTTTTTTAGTAGAGACGGTGTTTCACTGTGTTAGCCAGGATGGTCTCTATCTCCTGACGTGATCCGCCCACCTCGGCCTCCCAAAGTGCTGAGATTACAGGCGTGAGCCGCCACACTGGACTCGACTGGCTTCTTTACTGCAACCTGTTTGATCAGCAAGGTCTTTATAACTGTATCTTGGGCTGTTCTCCTGTCTCACCCTGTGACTTAAAATGCCTTAGCCATCTGGGAATGTGGCCCAGTAGGTCTCATCCCATTTTACCCAGCCCTTATTCAAGATGGAGTTGCTCTGGTTCAAACGCCTCTGAGAGGGGGACAGTCATTTCATTTCACACATGAAAGCAAACCTGGAATTTTCTCCATTGGAAGTTCAGTCTTGGCTAACGGCATGATTTAGAAATCAAAGGGGTTTGACCTTCACATGGATTTTAACTCTTGGAAAGGTAGCCATGGGAAAGGACCCCGCCATTGTAACACAAGAGGAGAGAATGGGGTATGGGGCACGTGGCCCTGAAATGACACAGAACTCTGACAGCACCACCCAGTTGCCATGTAGCTAGGTAAATATTTGCAAAGCACCTACATCTTCTCCGGATTTGGGGCAAATGTCTACTGGGTATGAAACCATCTTCGTGGGGAGTCAGCCTTACCCAGTTCTTATCTCTCTTGAGGTGCAGTTCACCAAATATGACACAACGTCCAGAGGCAAGAGGGGCCTGCCAGTTTTTACCTTCCTCTCTCAACTGGCACTGGGACATTTTAGTGGCCGAGACCAATGTGTCATCTGTAGGAGCCCTGGAGACAAAGGGTGGGCCCAAAGGCCCATCTTCTGAATATGAATTCCTGGCGTTGTCCTTTCTGAGAGCCCATGATCAAGATGCGTTGAGAGGTAGGCCAGCTTGCTGTGTGAGTGTTCCTGTGGCAATCTGTAAGGAGCACTTCTGTGTCACAGAGCTGCAATGAGGTGGAAAATCGTTTTTCTCAGAGCTATTGGCAGGTGGACTATTCTTTCAAAATTTCAAATAAAATGTAAAAACAAGTGCATGTTTTAAAACATCATTTATATCAAAAGCTAAACTAATAGAAAAAAAATCTTTGTAAAAAACATGCCAGACCAAAGCTTAATATAGTCAACATATAAATAAGAGGACTTGCAATTAAAAAGAATTGGTTTAAGAATGCTGTACAGGCAATTCATAAGGAAAAAGCACAACTATACAATAAATATATAAAAAGATGTTCAAGACAGAATAAAAATGCATAATACACTGTTGTAAAATAGTATTTTTATGTAACTGGGTGATTTTTTTTTTTTTTTTTTGAGATGGAGTCTCACTCTGTTGCCCAGGCTGGAGAACAGTGGCACTATCTCGGCTCACTGCAACCTCTGCCTCCTGGGTTCCAGCAATTCTCCTGCCTCAGCCTCCCAAGTAGCTGCAACTACAGGCGTGCACCATCACACCTGGCTAATTTTGTATTTTTAGTGGAGATGGAGTTTCTCCATGCTGGCCAGCATGGTCTGTGACTCGTGATCTCAGGTGATCTGCCTGCCTCAGCCTTCCGAAGTGCTGGGATTACAGGCCTGAGCCACTGTGCCTGGCCTGTTTTGCAAGTTTTTAAAATTAAATGCATATTTTCAAAAACTCAAATTCAAACAATTGGTCTCTTGGGTCTCTCCTCATTTTCCAGCAATTGCGGATGTGTGGATTACCCTGACCTCGTCACTCTACATGGTATCTATTGCAGCATCACTAACTACCCCATAAATATGTACAGCTATTGTTTGTCAATTAAATTTTTTTTTATCAGACTAGGGTGGACATGGTGGCTCATGCCTGTAATCCTAACACTTTAGGATGCTGAAGTGGGAGGGTTGTTTGAGGCCAAGAGTTCAAGACCAGCCTGGGCAACACAGACTATCCAAAAAATAATAATAATAAAATTTAAAAATCAGATAGACTGTTCTAAGGGGTGGGAAGAAATACTTTGATAAGTGATGGAGGTAAGACAGCCCACTCTCCACCCCACCCTACTACAAGGACATGCCAGCGCGACAGTGCCAGATGAAGAACTTGCTTGCTAAGTGGAGCACACAGTGTGGGATTGGAGTTAACTTGTTAGGGACAAAAAACGCTGAGTTATCAGACATGTGCTCCGTCTGTCTCAGGCTCTCATCTGCAGAATCAGCAAATATATCCCTACAGACTGTGGATGTCAGGGAGTGCCAGTTACGTCTGTTGGAGCACCATGTGCCTTCACCCTGCTCAGGTGAGGGGAGCCCATCGGGTGGTGGCTTCTGCTGTGTTGTCTGTGTCTCTCAGGTCCCTGAGGACAATCAAGGTAGCCATACACCCTGAATTTGCAAGCGCTGTCTGGTTTTAAAGGCTTTCCCTTTGGTTCAGGAAAGTCAATTCTTACTTGTCAGTCTTGTCTGTGTTCTGACTTTTGGCTCAGAAAATCAGTCACCACAGGCTCAAAAGCTTTGAACTCAGCACTTCTCTCTTCCCTGCAGTAGGAAATCCCCCTGGAAGACGATCAGAGATGCACCCCTTGGGAAACTGCTAGGCCAGGGCTGGCAACTGCAGGTGTCAACTCCCAGTAGAAACGCCATTGTGGATAGTCAGGCGAATCAGTAGCCGCGATGAGATGGATCAGAGACCAGGCTCAAGGGAGGTAAACATTTGCAAAGACCCGTGGGTAACTCCAGAAAGACCCCTCAAATGGACAGGTATGGACCCGTAAAAACAGAAATTCCGTTTTCTGGCTCTAGAATTTTGCTGCTTGACAGAAAGCTCCAGACCATGCCACCCTTCCCCATGCCCCCAACCCTATTATATGCTACATCTTCTGGGTGAGACTTGGCAATCCTTCTTTTTAAAATTAATTAATTATTTTTTGAGACAGCATCTTGCTCTGTCACCCAGGCTGGACTGCACTGGTGCAATCTCAGTTCACTGAAACCCCCACCTCTCGGGTTTAAGCAATTCTCGTGCCTCAGTCTGCTGAATAACTGGGATTACAGGCGCCCCCCACCATGCCCGGCTACTTTTTTTGTATTTTTAAGAGACGGGCTTTTACTGTGTTGGCCAGACTGGTCTCAAACTCCCGACCTCAGGTGACCCACCCACCTCTGCCCCCAAAGTGCTGGGATTACAGGCATGAGCCACCGCACCCGGCCAACCTTTCTTTTTTTAAAAAAATCCAATTTCTTTCCCTTGCTTTAATTCCTTTTTTGTTTTGCCAAAATGGTTCCTGAGCAGCTTTTTCATGGTGAGTACTTGCGGAATACGTCTTCCAGGTTCTAATGTGCACATCTCAATAGCGTCTCTTTGACTGCTTCACATTTGATGGATAATCTGAGTGGGTTAGGAATGCTAAATTCAAAATAGTTTCCCAGCTGGGCATGGTGGCTCACACTTGTAATCCCAGCACTTTGGGAGGCAGGAGGATTGCTTGAGTCCAGGAGTTTGAGACCAGCCTGGACAACATAGCAACTCTGTCTTTACAAAAAAATAAAAAAAATGGGCTGGGCGCGGTGGCTCACACCTGTAATCCCAGCACTTTGGGAGGCCGAGGCAGGTGGATCACGAGGTCAAGAGATCGAGACCATCCTGGTCAACATGGTGAAACCCAGTCTTTACTAAAAAAAAAAATACAAAAAATTAGCTGGGCACGGTGGTGTGTGCCTGAAATCCCAGCTACTCAGGAGGCTGAGGCGGGAGAATTGCCTGAACCCAGGAGGCAGAGGTTGAGGTGAGCCGAGATTGCACCATTGCACTCCAGCCTGGGTAACAAGAGCAAAACTCTGTCTCAAAAAAAAAAAAAAAAAAAAAAAAGAAAAAATCAAAAAAATAAGAAAAATAAGAAAAAAAATTTAGCTGGACATGGTGGCACATCCTTGTAGTCCAGCTACTTGGGAGGCTGAGGCAGGAGGATCATTTGAGCCTAGGATATGAAGGCTGCAGTGAGATGTGATCACGTCACTGCACTCCATCTGGGTGACAGAGCAAGAGCCTATCTCAAAAGAAGTTTCCCATAAACATTTGGAATCCATTGTTTGTCTTCTAGCAAAATTATTTTACATTTGAAAACTTTAAACAAGTGTTTTCTTTCAGCCATCAAGCCTTTTTACCTGCCCTCTCTATTTCTGCTTCTTAAGCAAAACTTTTCCTCGTAACCGGGGTGGAGTAATCCCTTTTTGTTAGAACTCCCTATAAAAGTGCGTCTACCTCAAGAGGATAAAACACTTACATTCATCTTCCGTGCCAAGGGCTGGAAGTTGGGCCTTATATGGAATTTGTGACTCATCACCCAAGATCCTAAAAGATTCACTTGCTCTGGCCGGCTCCTAATTGCATGGGCTGAAGCTCAGCTAGACGCCTGAAATCTAACACCTCGACACCCTTTTAACTAACCTGGGAACTACATAGTTCTGACTTGGTGCCAGGAAACTGTCAACTTCTAGGTCTGAAAAAAAATGCCCGAAACTTCTGTTGAGTCGCTCGATAAGGGACAGCGAGGACACAGGGATGCAAGGACAGGAGACAGGAATCATTCATTTTCTTAGCAAGAGGGGAAAGCTGGTTATAGTTCCTTCCATATGAGCAATGATTGTGAGTTAGAAACTAACCCAAGGGAGGCCGCGCGCGGTGGCTCACAGCTGTAATCCCAGCACTTTGGGAGGCCGAGGCGGGTGGATCACCTGAGGTCAGGAGTTTGAGACCAGCCTGGTCAACAGATCAAAACCCTGTCTCTATTTGATTTGTAAAATAAAATAATATGGCCAGACATGGTGGCTTATGCCTGTAATCCCAGCACTTTGGGAGGCTGAGGTGAGAGTATCACTTGAAATCGGGAGTTCGAGACCAGCCTGGCCAACATGGTGAAACCCCATCTCTACTAAAAATACAAAAATTAGCCAGGCATGATGGTGGGCACCTGTAATCCCAGCTACTAAGGAGGCTAAGGCAGGAGAGTATATATATATATGTGTGTGTGTATATATATAATAAATTTATTTTGCATATTAAAATAATAAGTAAATAAAACAATATAATTAATAAAAATACAAGTAAGAAAGCTTGAAAAAATGGAATCTTTTAGATAGGAGTCAGAGGTGCCCACATAAGTATAAGAGTTAGTGCCAGGAAGTGACTGCCTCTTGGCCGGCTGAGCCAAGGACAGCTACAAGGAAGGGATGTGGTGACCCAGGCAAATTGTTCCAGCTGCTCTTGATTTCTGAATCAAAAATTGGGACTCGTCGTCTGGAATTTATTTATTTTATTTTATTTTTTGAGGCGGAGTCTCACTCTATTGCCCTGGCTGGAGTGTGGTAGCATGATCTCAGCTCACTGCAACTTCTACCTCCTGGGTTCAAGCAATTCTCCTGCCTCAGCCTCCCAAGTAGCTGGGATTACAGGCACCTGCCACCATGTCCAGCTAATTTTTGTCTTTTTAGTAGAGATGGGGTTTCACCATATTGGCCAGGTTGGTCTCAAATGCTGGCCTCAAGTAATCTACCCACATCAGCCTCCTAAAGTGCTGGGATTATAGGCATGAGCCACCGTGCCTAGCCTTGAATTTATTTCTATGTATGAAATAACAAGTTTACGGACAATTACAATAGAAACAAAATATCCCAGCACTTTGGGAGGCCAAAGCAAGCAGATCACGAGGTCATGAGTTCAAGACCAGCCCGGCCAACGTGGTGAAACCCTGTCTCTACTAAAAATACAAAATTAGCCGGGCATGGTTGCGCACACCTGTAATCCCAGCTACTCGGGAGGCTGAGGCAGGAGAATTTCTTGAACCCAGGAGGTAGAGGTTGCAGTGAGCCGAGATCGCGCCACTGCACTCCAGCCTGGGCAACAAAAAGGTCTGATATGTACTATGTTTATCGTATGCCAAGTTGAATGCTGTGTGAGCCCATGCACTAGCTCACTTAATCCTCATAATTTTAGGGTGCAGGTGATAGCATGATCTGTTTTTCAGATGTGGAATTTTGGAGAGTGGTTAACAGCCTGTGAGTGCCAAGGCGGG